GTTTGTTTAAATATGTAATTAATATCTGCACATAAAAATAGTTGGTTTGAGAAAATGTGTTTGAAAAAAGACCAGATGCTCAGTTTTATTAAGAAAACACTGTAGAACCAACAGAAAAGGCTGATACTGCCAACGCTTCAGCTTCACTTGTCGAGAGTAGAAGAAAGTAGACCGACAGACAGTCTGTACGTAGACTACAGTGATCCCTGTGGGATTACAGGGCGAACAGTTGTGGTCCACTTTCCTCAACTTTGGCTCCACTTACTGTTGTAAAAATTCAAAAACGTTTAAAAAGTAGATTGGGTTTGTAGTGCGCCATCTAGTGGCTTCACTAAAAAGCTGAGTAGTAATACAGGTTAAGGGACAAAATTGTGGTCATTTCTATGAACCCGATAAATAAACCAGACGGGCTGTTTCAGGCCCGCAGGCCCTGGTTTGCATAAGGCTGGATTAGAATTAGACAGAGAGAAAATGCCTTATTTTTTCTGCCTTTATCTGCAACCAAACACAGGACACATCATTCCAATCACTTTATTGATCCCCAGGAGAAGAAATTGCTGATAGTTCAAAAGTGTATGATGATAATGATTATATAATGTGTGTGTGAGTGTGAGTGTGTGTGTGTGAAACAGCTGATGGCTGACCAAAGAGACCAAACTCAGGCAGACCTTGAATGATTCACCTATTTGTGTCATTTCTCCAGATATGAGCTGAGAAATTCTCCAGCTGCTGTCACACTTTCATCACCTTACACAAGGCGGTGGTTTGGTCACATGACCTGCCACTCTGAGCCATAAAAGCCACTTTTTTGGATGGTCCAGTTTCACACTGCCGGTCACGATGAGGGTGCTGATCGCTTTTACCACTCTGCTTGTTGTGGTTCTCTGCAAGGAGACCTTTGAGGGGTAAGTGGACCCTGACGGGCCTCGCACTGAGGTTACTGCTGAACTTATCAGTTCTTCAGTACTTTAAAAAAAAAAGTTTTTTCATGCAAAACATATATACATAATATATTTCCTATCATAAAGGCATGAATCTCCAACCAACAGCATGATGATATAAAAATAGTTTTAGAAATGATAGACGATGACTGCACTGTCTGAATTTAAAGCTCTTTAATAACATGTTCCTAAACAACCCTGGATGATGGAAACCCTTTCATTTGCTGAGTTCTCTGACTTTGCTTTAAAACTTAAAAAAAACTCATGTAAATAGAAGAAATATCTGTAATGTGTACTCCTTCCTAAATCCTCATAGTACTTTATATTTGATATTATAATTTGGTCCTATGAAGATATCTGCAGTAGTTGGTGTCTCATGTCTCATGTCTTTGCCTGAAGCGTCAACTTTGTAGGACAGGAATTATTTTGACACCAGTTGGTCTGGAGAAATCTCCCATCTACCTGTGTTGGCCAACTTCTCTCTTCTCTCCTTGCCTTGAGTTGAGCAAACACTTGTAAACCACAGTGGTTTTCCTTCTGCAGACACCAAGTGCTGCGCATCGTCCCCAAAGATGAAGTCCAGCTGGCTCTCATCAAGGACCTGGAGGACATGTCTGAGGTGGAGCCACAATACAAACCTGAAGACAGTGTTGACCATAGATGAAGATATATATGACATTTGATTCTTTTTTTAATTCTAGAAATTAACAAACATATGTGGGAAAAAACACCAAACACACATTCAATTCTTTTTTTGTTTGTTTTTGTTTTTTCTTCCCTCAGTTGGATTTCTGGACGGATGTGACTGATGTGGCCTATCCTGTTGACATCAGAGTTCCCTTTGACAGTCTGATGGTCCTCAAGGCCCACCTGATGAGTCAGGACATCGACTACACCATCATGATTGACGACCTGCAGGTACAGAGGGGTAACTGGACCGGGGTCAACAACCAGTGGTGGGGGCTTCATCTCCAACAGCGTCTGTGTGTCTGTCGTGCAGGTGATGCTGGACGAGGAGCAGCAGGAAATGGAGTCCGCAGCTCGCCTCGGTCAGCCAAGAAGCACAGACACCTTTGACTTCTCCAGGTACCACAACCTCAACGAGGTTAGTGTGCTGAAAATCCTCCAATAAAAAACAAGCATCATTTCCTGTGTAAAAAAAAAATCACATTTTCATCTCTGGTCAAAGATCTCCAGCTTCCAGGACATGCTGGTGGCTGAGAATCCCAGCCTGGTCAGCAAGCTTGTGATTGGACAGAGCTACCAGGGACGTCCACTGAATGTGCTGAAGGTAAATCAGCAGAGTGGACACAACCTGCGTGAAGTACAGTACACTGACTGGAACACATCTGGAATATTTACACTTGTTTTTATCTGAATCATATTTTGATGTTTAAACTTTTTTTTTTGAGAAGAAAAACGTTTGAACATTTATTTCCAAGCAAAACCAGGCAGTCAGTGATACACTGCCCTCTTGTGGGGTGGTGAGGTAATACTGTAATATTGTGACAGAAACTGATTGATTTATTTTATTCACACCCTCCATGTTAGTTCAGCACTGGTGGAACCAATCGCCCTGCCATCTGGATCGACACCGGAATCCACTCCAGAGAATGGGTCACTCAGGCCAGCGGCACCTGGTTCGCCAAGAAGGTGATTTGAGAAACATTAGAACTTTTTCTTTGGCTAAGAAAAGAAATGAGAGAATTTTCACTTTTCTGTCCCCAGATTGTGACAGATTTTGGAAAAGACCCTGCTCTCACCACCATCCTCAACAAAATGGACATCTTCCTGGAGATTGTGACCAACCCTGATGGTTTCTACTACACCCACTCCAACGTAAGACACTCAGAAAAGTTATCCTTGTTTCTCAAAACATTTGAATAAAACATCATTTCAATCGTTAGACAGACCCCAGAGTTCTGTGATGGATTTTTAGTCTGTTCCTCAGTCCCTTTGGTAAATGTTCCTTTACTCTCCAGAACCGTATGTGGCGTAAGACCAGGAAGCCCAGTGGCTCTGGGTGTTACGGTGTGGACCCCAACAGGAACTGGGATGCTGGTTTTGGAGGTAATGACATCAACACTGCTGTCACCAACACATCACTGTGTTCACCAGTTCCAGGATCAACATAGAAACATGTTTTATTTTGGAACAAATTTTCAAAGAGTAAATTTTGCTCTTTGTAGGACCTGGTGCTAGTAGCAACCCTTGCTCCGAGACCTACCGTGGACCCAGGGCTCACTCTGAATCTGAGGTCAAGTCCATTGTGGACTTTGTGAGGAGCCATGGAAACATCAAGGCCTTCATCTCCATCCACGCCTACTCCCAGATGCTCATGTATCCTTACGGCTACACCAGGACTGCAGTCAAAGACCAGGCCGAGCTGGTGAAACACCTCGTCTCTATTCACACGTTTTTTCAAAGTTTTTTTTTTGTCCAACGACGGAAGAGGCACTTCACTTTCTCTACAGCACGCTTTGGCTCAGAGGGCCATCTCTGACCTGTCTACACTGTACGGAACTAGGTACAGATACGGCAGCATCATCAACACCATCTGTAAGTGTCAACAACCAGATAAAACATACTATTGAGTAGGATAAGAGGAGGAGGAGGAGGAGGAAGAGGAGGTGACTGCAGGAGTCAACATCAGTCAAGTCACAACATTTGCTTCAATTGCAGACCAAGCCAGCGGGGGCACCATCGACTGGACCTACAACCAGGGCATCAAGTACTCCTACACCTTTGAGCTGAGGGACACTGGAAGGTATGGCTTCATCCTGCCGTCCAATCAGATCATCCCCACCGCCAAGGAGACCTGGCTGGCCCTGATGACCATCATGAATCACACCCTGAATAACCCATACTAAAATCACGTGTGTTAAGGTGTGAAAGCCTGCAGGGGCAGTGGTGAGCAGACGATAGCCTTTAAGGTTAATATCGCAGCATCATCAGCGTACTGGAGGACTTTAGGGCATCATGACACGTACAAGTGGAAAAAAAACGAGCATGTCTGAAAAAAGTGTTTGCGATAACATGATATTAAAGATGTTGAACACACATTTGTTCTGTTTGCCTCATTTTTACCTCTTTACTGCTAGCTAAGTTACTATAGCAAGTTTTCTTTTTTTAACCTTCATAGTTACTTTAGCAAGTTTTCTTTTTTTAACCTTCATAATCAAAAATTGTTTTTCATTAGTTTATTCTTTAGGGTATTATATAATTTTTTTTTTAAATCCTAAAGAATAATTCAAAAATAAATGAACTACCATTTGTCACTTGTATTTTGAAACATCTGTTTGGGAGTTTAAGGAACAGTTTACCACTGTGGCAAATATTCAGAAATATACACCTCAATTCACTACCAACAATCACAGTACAAGTACTATTGATGTTTTTCTGATAGTCTAATTATCTCAGGGCTAACATCTGGGGCTAACGTTCATTAGATTTAACTCAGGGGTCAGGATAGAAAGTCAAACACAGGAAGAAGGAAACATCAGGTCACCTCTAAATCAAACAGTGAACGGCATTGGCTCTATTTATTTTTATATTAATCATTTCACAGCTTCTAGACAACATACACACACTTTATTCACACAGACAAACGTATTTACAAAGGCACCAACCAGATGGTTGAAGTCAGTTCTTCATTCTTCAAATCACAGACTGCTGTAGTTCGTACGGTCATTCCTGTTAGGTAGACTTGAGGTTTGTTCGTCAGTAACTCTGAGGCCGAGGGTTATTTCCAGGGTGTGCTGCTCTGAACTCTGGACTCCCTGTCCACTGTGGATGAGCTCTGTCGACTCCCAGCGCTGGAGACTCTGGACCTGGAGCTGGTGGTTGACATCCGACTGGATAAACGACCTGCAGCAAAGGTGGGGACGGCAATTAGAGCCATTTTTTAACAACAAAAATACTCCTCTCTTTAGTCTCCTAAAGTCGCTTGCTTTTCTTCAGAGTGGTTACTCACTGGGGACCAGACTGTCCTCCAGCTGCTCCTGGATTCTGGACAGCTCGTCCGATGTGAACCTCCACCTCTTCACCGCTGCTGGTGTCTGCTGCAGCTGGTGCTGCTGTATGGAGCTCTTCTTGGACTTTGATGATGGAGGTACGGCCAGACATGAGGTGGGGATAGAACCTGTCACCATACCATCTGGAAACTTCTTACAGAGCACTTTGAGACCTGGAAACAAACTGGCCTTTTTAGATATGAATGCTGTAACAGCTTCTTAAAGTGTTAAAAATGACCACTCATTTGTGGCTAAAGAAAATCTTACCTCCAGAGAGAATAAATAAATTCTCAAAACCTCGCTGGCACATGCTCGTAGCCGTCTGGGCGGCTATTCTCTCATCCTCATCGTACAAAATGATGATTTTTCCTGCTGCATTTCTCTAAACAGACGCTGGGTCAAGGTCGTGTTCAAGAAATGTCTGACGATGAACATTTGACGAAGGTTCAAATCTAAAAGTTGCACCAAGGAGTATAAGATGTATTTTCTTGTTAGAGGATACATATTCCCGCACTTCTTTGGTGTAGGCGTCCATTGTTCGAGACAGCAGGCTGCTGGGAAAACTGTGGGCTGGAGGAAAGATGGAGGAAAAACAAGACTTTGAAATGTTCAAAAGTTTTAGAAATTGGATCAATCAAGACACAATAAATCATTTTGTTTGGGCAACAAAGGGTAGTAGTTAGGACAGGGTTACAGCTTCTCCCTAACCCTGACTGTCAGTACGTCACTGGACCACAGACAGAGCCAAACAACCATTCACACTCATTTATTACCTATTGATCAACTTGATTGATCACAATTGACTTACAATTTATCATGATTAATTCACAGCAAGTGTCATAGAGTTGGTAGGTCTCAGTCATTACGGTTCTTCTTGATGGTGGTTGCTTTAAGGACTTCAGTTCAGAGTCTACAGTCCCTCGTGATGAGTGAGTGTGGACGATGGAATCATTGGAAATACAGTGTGTGTCATTCTTTGAACAACCCTAGTTAATACTAGTTTATTTACTACCCACCACTGATGATGTGGCAGCTGTCATAAAGGTCACGGTCCCGTACGTCCAGCAGCAGGTAGGGACAGTCTGCGTAAGGACCATCGGGAACCACAGGTCCAGGCACCTTATTTTCACGACTCAACTCTCCCATACCACTGATAACACTGAGACACAGATACACGACACATTCAATGAAAGACACCTCATGTCCTGGTAAAATCATATTTATTTCTATCCAGTCTAGTGAAAACAAAGCACAGCCTCCAATTCACCCTAACATCTGTGACCGTTAACGATATCTCAGTTTCTAAGAACAGTTTCATCAGACATGTATTTCTGCAGTACATGAAAAAGTGAGTGAGGAAGTTGACCAAACCACACCGCAACAACCTCCTGTCCTCTCCCCATCTGCCCTCAGCCACATGTTCTATTATTACAGTCACCCCAACAGATTGGGTTACGCTCCCTGGGGTTCCTGTTTAGGCAGTATGTAGGCTGCAGGTGAGAGAGTGAGGTGAGGCCAAAAAATAGGTTTGTAGACAGAAGATATACAGAGCTGTGAGACCGTCAGTGGAGGACGCCCTTAACTAACCCTTAACTACCATTTAGGTAAAGTCAACCAACATTTATGTCTGTTTTAACTACAAAAAATACAGTATTTATGAAATCCAGTACAACAGTATTTTCTTATTATGGTGCAAAAATAAATAAAGAAAAACTACATGTTTGTAGTTTAACTAAAAACAAAAAGTACCTTAGCAGTGTTGATCTGGCGGTGTGACATACGTCACTGTTGTCGTGGTCATACTGCCGATGGGACTGACAGTCCAGATCTGTATCTGACACAGTAGACAGACGGTCTGTAGACAGAAAGAAACTGATTCTTTGAATAAAAAAAGAAGTCGGCCCCAGACCGCCGAGTCATGAAGAATGGATATTCATGGAAAGTGAACGCCTCATTTAACCATATGCCTCACCTTCGGTATCATGTGAGCCGTTGTCGTTCTCAATTTCATTCAGTTCGGACACAGCCGCTACCTGGAGGATCTGATGAGGCAATGAGGGATAAACATAAAATTCATGTTGCTGACTCCTTCAAAAGGTTTGAAAGAGACTTTTCTGAAATACACCCTACAGTTTGAACAGGTTCACTGGAGCTGGCTCACTGTGCACAGCTGTTCACACATGTAGTTCATTCATTATTTAGTAGTGTTAACAGAGACGTGTTTCTCTCCACGTTCATTCAGACAACACAGAATCAACAGATAGGAGCTCACTTCTACGAAAGACATCCTTACTTTTTTACTTAACACTTACAATATATTTATTTTAAATCCTAGGGGAGATTTTGACTATGAAAACATAACAGGAGTATGAAAAAGCAGACGCTAACCATTTGTGCAAATGTCGTCACCCCCAGCCGCTTGAATATTTCATCTTTGTGATACCTGTAGTCTGAGAATGAAGAAGAAACAAAACTAAAACTGTCGCTGGTACAATTGATCAAAACATATCAATTCTGTTTTATATATTGGCCTACACCGGTCATTCAACAACACTATAATGGGCAGTACTTAAATTGTTTCTTTCAAATAAAATATTTATAAATATACTATAGACACAATAATCCTGAACAGACTCACTTGTTTGTATGTCCTCCATATAGTTTGTAAGGCTGCATCCTGCCAAACACAACACAGAGGCAAATGTTTATAGCTTATAGTTATAGTTTATATTTCTTTTATTTTCTTAAATCATGTTTTATTCCGTAGTTGTAAATATGTGCATGAGAATCAAAAGACAAAATACCTGTGTCTAACTTGGTCTTCACATGCTGATACTTTGGGTTTTTGGGGATTCTTTTTTCCATATACTGAAAGGAAGAGAAGAATATCAGCTTTTGACATCATCTGTCATGGTAAGTTCTGCCAAGGTATCGTTGGAAAATAAATCTCGGGTTGTACTTTTTTACTATATTAACTAGTTACGCTAATATGTAGTGAGAAAGACATGCGTTGTGAACGAAATAAATAGTGGCATATTCTGGTTTGCCAGGAACTGCTGCCGACTTTTTCATACAGTTCTGCATTGAAAGCTAACTACGGTGAACTAGCAACTGAATTGAAAGAGATACCACTTAAGGCTGCCGTAAATAAACGGAAAATGATCATCGTTTACCTTTACACTGCCGATGCTGCGGTTGTACGACATCTTTTTAAACGGAATCAACATACATGAACATGGATGAGACCAAACAGACAAATTCAACAAGGTCGCTGTTGATTGGTCCCTTTGCTTCAATGGACAAATCAGAGCAGCTGATACTCCGTAGCCACCCAAGCAGTTCCGTCTGACGATGTGCCTTTCTAGTTGCTAGGCAGCAGAGGACGATCCGCCTTCTTTAACGGTGTGCTACATTCAATTCCTAAGAAAAAAATAGAATTAATAAAATTAACCGTATGAATCCGTGGACTGCGTGTGTTATTAGCGTGTAATGATTGAACTAATAGAATGTTTTAGTACATTATAGCCAACAGCAGTACTATTCTTATACTATGTACAAAATCCTCGTTTTACGAGGATAGTCCTCAAAATCAACATCAGATTGTCAGATTGTCATTGTGATTTACAATTTTTCTCGTGTTACTTTAATGCATCAGGAAACGATACGCTCTGTTCTCAGTGACGAGAAAATGATTTATTATTCGTGTGTGTAGCGGGCATTTAAGATGCTAATATATACAGTACAACTCAGTTTATGACCAAGTTCAGACCATTTTCTAAATACAGTCTGTTTTCCAACTTGGTTACTTTCTGAGTGTCTCGCGTACCGCCCCGTCCTCAGTGCTCTGTGCTCGACTGCTCATGTCTGAGGCAGTTGTTGCTGGCGCTCTGTTTGACAATAATGGAAGACTCGGCACAAGTTTCTCCCAGAACCACAACGTTACTGCTGTGAAGACAAGCAAATGAGAACAATGGCGTCAGTCATGGTGAGTTTAAACGTTTATATTCCCCTCAAAGGTGAAGTTTGTATCAGTTGGGAGAAAAAGCGTGTATAGAAAACGAAGAGACAGCGACCAACGGTCAGTCAATCAACGAGTTTGCTAACTCAGCTGTGAGTGTGATAAGAGGATTGTCTGAATGGGGGCTGTCACTTACACCCCACCTTCTTTAACTGTAAGTGGATGCTAACTGTGTTGAACTCTCGCAATTACATTTTATTTACCAATTTCACAACACAATTAAAGCTCTTTGATAAATACGCGACGTGTGATTTCGTGTGACGATGTATTTTTATTGGAAAGTCTTTATTATGACCTTAACTCCTTTTCTCTTTAGTCATCCCATCGGCTAACCACGTCTGCTAAACGCACCTGTTTGAATGATTGAAATATTTAAATTAATTCAATAGAATGATGTTGTATTATTTAGCCACGTGGTTTATAAATTGTGAGAGATTGTAAAAAATATTAAAAATGTCACTAACTCCAGATTTGTCCGCTGTGAAACAAACATAATAATACAATTTCCCATCGTTGACCATTAATAATCAAGTTTCTCAGAACATCCTCCTGCCTGAAAGAGATACATCTTTTGCTGAATTTTCTTTTGTTTTTTATTTCCATACCTTTATTATCCAACCTTATTGTCATTTGTAGGAAGATCCTGTACTGGAGAGACACTTTAAAGGCCACAGAGATGCTGTCACATGTACAGACTTCAGTCCCAACCACAAACAACTTGGTAAATACATATGTAAACTATATTGTACATTTGTATTTTGCTTTGGCATATTGCTACCAGATAAGGTGTATTTGATTAGTTATAATTTTCTTTTATTCAACCGTTTTCTGTTCCTTCAGCTTCTGGGTCAGTAGATAAAACCCTTATGATTTGGAATCTGGCTCCTAAGGCCAGAGCTTTCCGTTTTATTGGTCACCACGATGGCATCACTGGAGTTCAGTTCTCTCCCTCTGGTAACCTGGTGGCAACCTCATCCAAAGACAGAACAGTGCGTCTGTGGACACCAACCATGTAGGATTACACCTGAAATTATGGCCATTTTGTTTATTGCTGTGAAAATATTTTTAAAATTGAGTGGCAAGTGAAGCTCTAATATCTGTAATAAAGCACCTCCTAAATTTATCTCTCTTTTTTTAAAATACGTTTTAGGAAAGGAAAGTCGTCCATTTTCAAAGCTCACACCGCAGCTGTTCGCAGCGTCGCTTTCTCCCATGATGGTCATCGACTGGTGACAGCATCTGATGACAAGTCTGTCAAAGTGTGGAGCGTTTACCGTCAGTGCTTCGTCTACTCACTGAATCAGCACACAAACTGGGTTCGCTGTGCCAGGTACGGTGCAACATGACACGTTTCAGCGTCTTATTTTTATCTATAAGGTTTTAATCATCTGAGGGATTCAAACATTTGATGTCTTGTCATTAGAACTGTCCAAAATACTTTTAAGAATGTGATCCTGTCAAAGTTTCGGCCATTTCGTGTGCCACAGACCCTAGATTGACAAGGAAAACTCAGAGATAGCCAGTTAGCCTAGCATTTAACATTAAACGGTGTCAAAGAAGAAAAGAAAACTTTACTTTCATAAATACTGCTTTGTCTTGTGGTTGTACCTCCTGTGATGTGATGTGATAACCACTTGGGGCGCTCAAAGCTCTTCTCTTGTGACTGCATCTTTAAGACAGATCTGAATATCAGTTCTATTTGTTTGAAGTTACAGATTTTTTTTTTAAACCTGCTGCAGGTTTTCTCCAGATGGGAGGTTGGTGGCTTCCTGCAGTGACGACCATTCTGTCCGACTGTGGGACACATCCAACAAACACTGTGTGAACTGCTTCTCTGGTTATGGAGGGTGAGTTTAATTTTGAGTCTTCACCTCAAAATGTCTTTTTATGAAAATGTAAAAAACAAAACATGTCAATAAGAGGTCGTTCACCTTGAGCTTTAGTTCTTCACCTGAGATAGAAATTTCAAAAAAAAAAAAAAATTAGAACAGGTTCCCAGGAATCCACCGAACACATTCCTTAGAATCAGATCTATGTTGACTGTGGTTGTTGCATGAAGTCCAGTCCAATGTATGGCTTTTAGACCAGCAACGTGGGTTGAGTTCAACTCCAGCGGCACCTGCATTGCGTCTTCAGGAACGGACAGTACGCTGAAAATCTGGGACCTACGGACCAACAAGCTTATTCAGCATTATCAAGGTTTGTTCAGATCTTTGCATTAATAGAACTGTGAAATGAAGAATCGTGATTGTAGAGATGTGCGTGAAAGTGCATCTTCAAATCGGTCCCATTAGTGTGTATTTACACGACTGCTAGATTTACTGAATAAGTGACCTGAACTGAATAAGGGTACGTGACGAAGTTTTTACCAGGTCGACTGGTTTTGTGCAAAAAATGCAGTTAACCTGTTGTTGATTTAGAAACTTTGAGGTCACCAAATAAGCTAAAGAGTTGTTACAGTTGAGATCATTGGTACAGGTCCCCAAAAATAATCAGAGTTGTTACAGTTGAGATCATTGGTAAAGATTCTACATTTGGAAGTTGTTACATCAAGTCTTACATTTGGTCATAACCAAAGACCGGAGCTTCTCATCATCATCATCATCATCATCTTCTTCTTCTTCTTTAATTCAGTCCACAGTGCAGCGATCAATGGTTTCTCCTTCCACCCCTCCAACAAATACCTGATCAGTGCTTCCAGTGACAACACCGTGAAGATCCTGGACCTGCTGGAGGGACGACTTATCTACACTCTGCATGGACACAAGGTTGGCTTCCACACACAGAGACATTAGCACAGACTGTCGGCCGACTGAGCAGCAGGAGTTCAGCGTCTCTACAGCCACGTGTCAGCCGTGTCCTGTTCTGTGTTTGTCAGGGTGCTGTGACGACGGTGGCCTTCTCTAGGACCGGAGAATTCTTTTCCTCAGGGGGAGTTGATGCTCAGGTAATTTGTTAGATTTAATAACAAGCAAAATACCCTGCACTGTGTGATTCCACCATCTGTCCACTTATCGCTGCTGTAACACACAGTAGAAACACATGTTATTAACTCACACTGTTTCACTGACGCAGCTTGAGTTTAAAATACCGTGTCAACTCCCAGTCCTACTCAGATGGACTGTGTGAATCAACTGGTGCCTCGCAGAAAATTGCATTATACTTATAATTTTCCTGACATGGGTTTGTTGGCTAGTCATTAGTCTTAATCATTTTTTGACAAATTAAAAATGTTTATCTTGATTGATCATAAATCATGATAAAAAAAAAGTCATGGTGAAAAATTGTTCTAATTTTCCTGACATGGGTTTGTTGGCTGTTAGGTTCTGATGTGGAGAACGAACTTTGACACCAAAAACTACCATGAACTCCTGCAGCGACAGAGTCGATGGTCCACCTCTGGTTCGTCACCTTACCTGACGGACATCCACCCAAAAATACGCCCCCGTCCTCATCAGCGGCCATCAGCCACTCAGGTCAGTTAAGGTTTAATCCATGTCACAGTGTTTGTTTATGATGCACAGGTGAAACAAAGACATCAGCTGTAACGATTCTTCGTCTCCACAGATCAGTGCAGTGACAGACACTCGGTCAGTTGACCCCACTGTGGTAGAGATGGGCCAACCTGTCCACAGGGCCACGGTGAGTTGTTGTTCTTGCAGTTCAAGTCACAAAGTTAAGAGGCAGAATTACTTTACACCGTTGATGAAAAATTCAAACTCAAAATTAGCTTTAATATCTGAATTACAATGTAACCTTTGCAAAGACAACTAATATAAGACAAATAATATTCAATTTCATCTTCATTAGAAAAAAAGATATGTTTAGATCACAAGTATGTTCAGAAATATAAAATAAATACTAAAGTTAAAAAGCAAAAAAAATGAAAAGCCTACACAAATGTTATAGAGGTTTAGAGGTTAAAAACTCTCAGAGACAGTGGATAACAGCAGGTGGCAGTGTAGACCAGTCGTTAGTCGTGGTAAAGCCTGCATTAAAGAGAGTCTAGATCCTATTGACATTGAAAACTACCCACAAATCCCTGGTGTCACTGCAGCTCAGTCACTAAAACTGTTTCTTCAGTCACAAATAAAATGATTAAGGTTTTAAGTCACTCTTCGTCCACTGGTGCCGACCTGTGGACCAGTGGACCAGTGGACCAGTGGACATGTGGTTCAGATGGTTATTGCCAGTCTGGTGTCTCTGAACCTTGTTCTTACTGCGGGTCTGTGATTGTTTCTCGGGGTCTCAGTGTGGGGTCTCAGTCCGATGACTGCACTTGAACTGCAGTTGCACATTCGTGTTATGTTGCAGTTTGAATTCCTGGATGTGAATTAGTGATATCTGATGACTCCACAAATGCTGATCAGGGATTAGCTGTGGAAACATGAGGTTGATGTGGATGTGGTTCAGATCTACAGCGTTACAGTTTATTAGGAGAACCACAGTTCTCTTGTTACTCATTTGAAGGCCATATTAATGTTTAATGATGACATCGTCGAAGTCTGGAGATTCATCATATGAGGCTGTGTCATGTGTTGGGATATATTCATAAATATTTTTACTGTGTACTCTTGATGAAGACAGAGACGAGTAGAGAACTTTTACATAACTATTTTTTTTACCATTAAAGTTTTTTGTTTTTTTTAAAGGTAAGATTTTCAACTTTTCGTTTGGTTTCGTTGTAGTTGCCTGCAGTACACGGGTACGACCAGCTGAGTGTCTTGACCAGGGAAACATGGGCATACAACAGGTTCCATACTGTAATGGAAAATAATAATAAGGTCATGGGCTCAGTACGAGTATTTTCACTATATATATGCAGTACCTGTTTTACCCTGTAGGTGACACAGTTCTGTGAACGTATCAGGTCTGGATCAACAAAAATGATGCAATAACTGGCCATGAAAATGGAAACCCTTATTAACCATCCTCATACTTTTTCTGTTTTACTGCAGTAACAGAGTCATTCCGGCTGCCCCCTATAGGTGGTACTGATGTATCCATTCTTTCTCATTTAATTTCTCTGAGTTAGGATTCCGTCCCACACCTTCCTATTGTTTTTTCTTCTTCCACACCTGGAAGCGTCTGGTCCCCTGTGGAGAGATGAGCGTCTGACAGTATGAAAACCTCAGTTCTAGATAATTATTCAAGTGCTGCAGTGGTAGTGGATTATCAAGGTTTTTATTTTAAACAACATCGTGAGTCACAGCCGTGCTGCTCAGTTCAATCACGACAGAGAATCTGACACAGATTTATGTCCAAGTTAGTCTCTGTCTCTTCACGGTCTCAGTGTCCTCTGGTTTAACTGTACCGTTGATGGAGAGCTGTGGGAAAGTGTTTTGTTGAGATTGAGCCGTGGTCCAGGAAACGTGCAGATAAAACCTTTGTGTATTTAACTGTAAGCTCCATTTGGAGCCGTGTTAGTGTTTCTGTAGCGTGGCACTTTTCCCTTCCTGTCTCCTTCCTGGCCGTTGGCTGCTGCGTGGGTGGAGAGACATGAATGGACCAAGCCGAGTGGAAGTCATTCAGAGCGAGGACGGCCAAGTTAGATAAGTGGTTCTGGTTCAGGAGTCCATTAAACATGGCACCACAGAACAGCCATTCATGACCTAAATGGGTCGACTGTGAACAACTGTGGCGTGAATTTGAATCATGACTGAAAATTAACTCTGAGGAATTTAAACAATCACTCGAAGCTTGTTATTCTCACTCTGTGTGTGTGTGTGTGTGTGTGTGTGGATTTCCTGCTGCAGCTAAAAAATATGCAGATTAATGTTTGTTAATTCAGCCTCTTTCACTGCAATCCAAAATAATCTGTGACCATTTCCATTTTTAATTAAAGCAGTTTCTAATTTTTTTTTTATAAAACACCTTTTAGTTTTTTAAACTCGTCCTTCACTTGAACAGAATAAACCATTTAAAACCGTCTCCACTACCACTCTTTAATTGAAGCAGTTTCTAATTTTTTTTATAAATAAACAGTTTTTTAAACTCGTCCTTCACTTGAACAGAATAAACCATTTAAAACCGTCTCCACTACCACTCTGGCCCTGTTTCATTAATGTGAGCTCCGACTGCCTCCAGCGCCACCTAGAGCATAAAAAAGGACTTGATCAGTGATATGTTGTTGTTATTTGCGATGTTGGGTTTTTAGCATCAAAACGAAAATCTTTGATGACGGCAAAGTAACTGACAAAGATTATCAACAGACAGAGTGATGGTGTCAGACGACTGTAGTTTGAAGTAGTCACTGAGACACTGAGTCACTGAGACACTGAGACACTGAGACACTGAGAGACTGAGACACTGAGACACTGAGACACGTGCCTGTGTTCTGGGCTAAGAACCATTCATCCATCCTGTCAGAAAAAAAGCAGTGTTCTCTCAGAATATTCTGCTGTCTCTCTCTCTTTCTCTCCCTCTCTCTCTCTCATCCTCTCAAGTCCTCCCCCCCCCCCAAACTCAGCGTTTAATTGCCCAAGCGTGCCTGAATGTAAAGGCACGTAAGAGATGGGGGAGTAGAAGGGTAGAGATCAGAGGGATGGGGGAGATAGGAAGGAATCCACGTGCCAGTTCTCGGCCCCCCGGGGCCCCCCCACCGCAGCTCTAATAATAGACTGGCTGGTGTTCTGCCTTTCTGTTTAACTGGCTGTTAACACATCACTTTTATCCCTGCCACAAATAGAACGGCGGATGTAGCTCTCACACTCGCTGCTACTTGATAAGTTTGAAAATGAAAAACAGCACAAACTTGAGGTTAGAACGCGGTGCCGTGTGAGTGTGTTTTTAAATACTTCCTGTGTCTGAGCGTACGTTAGAGCAGAGCTGAGCCAGGCACTCGTTTCACCTCTGAAACGACACAAACAGAAGGGTGTTTGCGTAACGGCAGGTCACATGAGCCGAAGCCAACGCCTCCCAGACGGTCACGTTGTGCAGACGGTGTTGAAGTGAAGTTTCCCTAGGCTTCCAGACAGGAGGCAGGTGCAAAGTTCTGTGATTGGATAACATGTAAAATGACAGAAGAATAAGGAAAATAACAATGTCAAAAAAACCAAACCCAGAGAATCACTAAGTGCAGTGACATGGTGTGTTTGTCTTTCCTTTATCTTTTTCATTCACTTCTTTTGTGTAATTTTTTGGGATGACTCGATCTGATGTTTGTCAATATTGGTCTGATATTGGAAAAAAAATTCAACATAGCACAACGAAAAAAAAAACGCTGTAGCTCCTCTGATCTGATACCTAAGCTCAAATGTTCAGCTTGATTTGGGGCGACATGTCGTAAACAGAGACACTGAGACCACAGCATTTTGGAGGAAAAAAGATGGTATTTATACCATTTTATATACGATCTGCAGTTATGAAGTGACTCTGAGTTCCATTTAGTTGTAGTTGAAACTTTAATCTTGGATCTTAAACACCTGTATTCTCATTTTAGAAGTCGTTGATATCAAGTACCGTTGCCAAAACCTTTTCAGGTTGGGTTTCAATAAATATCCAATGACCTGGACGCCAGTGTTGTATGTAGAGGTAGCATCTCTGTGGGTGATAGGGTGATGTGCAGCATGTGTGTGTGTGTGAGTTCAACCACAGTGAGGACAAGCAGGAAAATGACGACTGCCAGTTTTAAGTTCTTTTCAATGGAAAAGTATTTAAATCTTTCTGTATTAAACAAAACCCCTTCAAACTGACGCTGTCATCAGAAAATATATCAATGAAAAGAGAAAATAAAAACCAGCCTAATTCAGCTGCTCGTGCGTTGACATCAGTGAGTTTCCAGTTAGGAGAAAAGAAAGTTTACAGTAAGTAACTCTGGCCTAATTAGAGTAGAGAAGAAGTCGGGCGGAGTCCTGACGATGCAGTGGAACCACGCACTGGTTTATTTTGGAGACTCATTACCTGAGGACGTTTATATTTTTACAACCTATTAAAAAGTCAAACCCACTCTGCTCCTGTACGGTCCTCATGGCACAGACCAAAACTGCTGTCACACAAGTTTGATAAACCTCCCACCTTTGCTTTTTCTTTTTTTTTTTCCGTCTCCTGAGAAGAAGTCGTGACGTTATGACGTCCATAAACATTATTAAATCATGTCACCAGGAAAAACAGACTAACCTGCAGAAAGTGGAACATCACCCACACAGAGGCATCAGACACAACCGTGGTGTACAGTAAGGCACGTTATGTAAGGCCCACAGTTAATGCACACGCTGCTGTAGTTGTTGATGATAAAAAAAAATAAATATTTTTTTTTAGACACAAATCAGGACAAACCTCAAGAATCTGTGTCTGTTTGAATCTTCAGGGAAGGTTTGTGACATCCAGGTTCATAAGTCTTCAGTCGGCAGGAGGATGAGTCACTGAGCCACATGCGTGTTGGTGTAGCGTGTACATGTGTTAGCATGAATTCTCCAGGCGTGTGTTTTCTTGTGTGTAGTGATGTTTGGGCATCAGAGTGTGAAGGTGGAGGTTATTCCTGGGCGGAGGTGGGAAGCCCTGCTGCTCATCCTGTCACGTCTTATTACCTGACGTCCATCACTGCAGAGAGTTTCCCCTCTGCGTCTCTCTCCCCTCCTCTTGTCTTCCCTGCTGGTCATCTCCTCCTCCTCCTCCTCCTCCTCCTCTTCCTCCTCCCATCA